CCTTCGCCGTCGGGTAGGATGTCATCCACACATTTTAGATGCTTGGCATTCTACAAATGTACGTGCGTCTCGATCTTTTTTACCTCGCACGTGCAAGATGTGGAATGATCTTCCTCCCGAGGTATTCCCTGAGCGCTATAACATGGGGCTCTTCAAGAGTAATGTCTATAGGTCCCTTAAAGGCCGGCAACGCATTCGCAACTCCTCTTGTGTTGCAGATGTCCATGAGCGACGATAGCCACTTACCATCAGGTGGATCGTTTGCTCGTTTGCCCCTTTTTTCTATAAAAAAAAAATATAATATTATATAGTCTATCTATTCCATACTAACCGTTAAACGGTTAGTAAAGGTCGAAGCCGAGCGAAACGAGGGTGAGTCCTTAGAGTATGCATAAGCTACTCTAAGGGTGAGTCGCTATCGCTAGTATGTGTATAATAACACTGCATTACAAATTAAAAAAAAATAAGTACCCCCTTAAATTCTTCCTGTTAGATATGAATAAGTATTCATATAAATCACTTATTAAGAACACATAAGTACTTTTTTCTATCACGTACTGTTTTTAAGGTACGGCAGTTAACAATTTTAATAAGTAAAAAAATTAAAAAGTAAAATACAATATACCTACACGTAGCTTTATTATCAATCATTCGAATAAAACTGCCAACGTAACTTATTATTAATACATTTGCAAACAATAAAATAAACATAAAATATACGGTAAAAAGCTTATATTGTACATAAAAAAATAAAAATATTTAACTTTTTCTCTTATGTTGGGAAGTATCTTCTAGCTTTAAAAGTCAACAGTGATCTCCCAACATAGCTGCGTCTCAAAGACCTTGTAACCGTTGGTCAAGCCTTTTCACATCCTGATGTAATCGTTCCCCTTATTCATCACTGACTGCTCCAAGATTTGAAGGGAAAAAAGTGAAATGGGAATAGAGAAAGTGATTTTTTTGCGACATTCGGCAAACCATCTTTTTGTATGCTCTTAACAAAGTGTTCAACAAGAGTTCTTGCATTCTCGGCTCTATGATTTTTACTAAAAATCATTTATCACGACTTTTAATTATGTCAATGCGCACAGTTTTTTATCATTTAGTGTTTAATCAAATATGTTGTTTTTCATTAATAGGTGTATTTGTGACCAATAAAAACACCTTCGTTCAACTTTGCGTCACTTAATTTTGAACTTAAATATAAAAATCCTTCGCCATTTTTATCCATCGCTTTCACAATATTCTTTATAAAGGAGAGTTTTATGTGTAGAGGAGGTAAAATGACGTCTTCGGGATTGAAGAAAGGCAAGTATTTTACATTTGACTTGCCACACACAAATTCCGTTCGTTTTGGCCAGTCTTTGATCAAATAGTCCTTATCAGTAGCTCTACTGCTGTCCCACATGCAAAGAAAGCAACAGTATTTAGTAAATCCACCTTGCAAAAAGAGTAAATTGTTTGGTGAAATTTTGCACTGGCGGCGGCGGCGACTACTTTTTTCAGTATTTATCTTGAAAACTGTCTTATTACACTCACAAACAGGTAATCTCAAAAATACTAACGGGAAATAAACCTATTTTCTCAATATATTAATTAGTTATCTAGCTATTACATTTACTAATATTATGGATAATATGAGGCTCGTTTAAAAAAATGTTATCGGTGTGTACCTTTAAAACAAGACGTGATAGAAACAAAAGACATCCATTGCTTACATACTCGTACTATAAGTAATAGAAAACTATAATAGCAATCAGTTTTTCGAGTACCGAAATCGTGTCACGCAGTGTAATCATTTAATTTTTATCACAATATTATATAGAAAATATGTATATAGGAAAAAGAACAGCGCATGATATTACTTATGATTTTATTTCTTTGTATCTGTACACGAGCGATTCTCTAACTAGGTTAATAATTATGTGTTGTCCATACTCGGGTGTTTATACGAGTATATACGACTTTGTTAATTAAAGAAGAAATGGCTATAACAGAAATGGCAAGTAACATATGAATCCTCTTAATATAAATAAATTACTAAGTTTTCTGTATCTATGTTCTTCATAAATCTTAATTTACTTATTTCTTAATATTAACCATCAGTTGCATCGCTCAGATTTTACGTATATATATTGAACTCTTTTCAAGGCCAACGCCTTATACTTATATCTCATATTTAAATATGTTTTGCTTAACAAATGAGGTAAGCAATATGTATTTAAATAGTCTACTATAAAACCCCAAAGTTCCAAAATAAAACATCCTACATTCGTTTTTAACTTATTTTGCTTCCTGGATAGTCTTTTTGAATCAGCGCACCTGTCTGTGCCCATCAAGTTGGCAATAAACAGGTGACACTAAAAAAATATATTTTAATATCATGTAAGAAAACAGTCTTCTATATGCATATAATAAAACTGTAACTAAGCCGAATCTGTACATTAAATATTTTTTGGAAAATTTTATTGAAATAAACATTATTATCGATACAGAGGCCGAATCTATAGTTTTTAGAATTTGTGTCTGTCTGTCTATTACCGCATCACAGAAAAACCACTGGAGGGATTTTGATGAAATTTGGTATGGTGACAGCTGGTTATGCGGGTCAAAGTCAAAATATAGGATACTTTTTACCGCGGAAAAATGCCTCATTTCTTAGAAAAAATACAAAAACTGCAATGTAAGAGTATACTAATATGTAAAACCTAAGAATTTGTTTTTTGGTCATCTGAACGCGGGGAGAGCCGCGGGCAATGCTAGTCGTAAATATATTTTACTACAAATTCATATTGCGACCACTTTCTTATTATCATACACAATCATATTTAATAATAAGTAGTTATACAAAACAAAACTTCTGCAAACAAAGTAATCTTCTTTTTTTCTTGTTTTGTTTGTTATATATTTGTAAACTCTGACAAGAATTTTTATTGTATCTCTTCAAGAATGTATTTATAAGAAGTAGTCTACGCTATTTACAAAATATGTTTTATTTTATAATAATGCTAGCAGAACCCGCGGCTTCGCTCGCGCTAAAACTACAAAAAAACTAAAAGTAGGTTTCACAAACTTTCATCATCTATTTTACCCCCTTATGGAATGAATTTAGAAAAATGCTAAAACATGTATTTAATTAATTGTATTGAAGAGTATTAATACCAAGTTTCAAGTAATTCTGATCATAAATAATTTTTTTGGATTGTTTTCCCGTGGGAAAGAGATAATCTCCCGCGGTAAAAAATAGCCATGTCACTCTCCAGCTCTCCAACTATCTCCACACAAAAAATCATGTCAATCCGCCAAGCCGTTTCGACGTGAAAGAAAGTCAAACAAACAAACACATTTTCACATTTATAATATTAGTATGGAAGTATGGATTTTTTATCACTTCACTGCCGTATCTATTTACAATTGTAGAAATAAAGCATGTGCTAGTAAAAGTATTTGTATTTATTGCTACCTTTATCATTAGATAATACGTGTTACATAATATTGATAAGTTCGATAATATCAGTACTCAGCTCTAACGAACTAAACGGCAAAAGTACATTTATTTTTCTTTGTATGTAAACATCTGTTAGCAAGTTATTGGTTCATCTATACTAATATTATAAAGAGGTAAAGTTTGTGATCTTGTGAGTTTGTGAGTTTGTGGGTTTGTGAGTTTGTGAGTTTGTGACGTTGTAGGGGGTAATCTCTGGATCTACTGAACCGATTTTCAAAATTCTTTTACCAATAAAAAGCCACGTTCTTTCTGAGTGTCATAGGCTATATATTAACCCGAAGAATGAAAAGGCTTTTTCGTGGTAGTCGGATTTGCAAAGTAAGTCGGAGAAAAAACGGTCGAACGTAAACGTTTCTTACGAACGCTGCCTTAAGGATGAGAGATATATGATTATATTCTAGAGAAAAGTTGTAGAGCTTAATAATGCCTACAAAAAAGTCAGCGACAGCATATGTCTAACTTTTATACTTAAGTCACAAAAAGTAGTGTTTTATATTAACAAAATAATTTAAATTGGTAGGTCATGTTTATTGGTCATATTATCAACAATTATGAATTCTTATCAAAATAAGTAAATTTATCGTCTAAAATGTTTAAAAGAAAAGACTTTTCCCTTTTACTGCATATAATTTGGACAAATGGTTAAAGAGATAATACAACATATTTGTAGGTATGGACGAACCCGAGCGAGCTGTTTGTCTGTTTTCCTGTTTGTACGGGCTAATCTCCGAATCTATTGGACCGATTTAAATGAAATTTTGCGTGGTGGTACCTTATATCCCCGGACAACATCTTAGATACTTTCCACCCCGAAAAATTAAAGAGTTCCCGTGGGATAGTTAAAAAACTAAAACAACTTATACAGCTTAGTACACAAAAATTACTGATTGAATTTTAATGAAACTTTACAATAATATAGTTCATACATGACAAAACAAATCAGCTACTTTTCATTCCAGAAAATTAAAGAGTTTCCGTGGGATAGTTAAAAAACTATAGTAACTTATACAGCTTAGTACACAACAACTTACGCACCTAATTTAATAAAATTTGGCATGCTGATACCTAACATTACCGGTCAAACAACAACTTACTTTTCATCCCCGAAAAATGAACGGTTCCCGTGGGATAGATCTGTTTGTGCTTTTCTAGAGGCGAACCCGAGCGAAGCGAGGGTGAGCCGCTAGTCTCGAATATAACTGATTGTCGCTCAGTTTGATAATATGTGAACACTTCACAGTGTATACTCATTTTACATTCGCCGTATCTCAGATAAGTTAGAATCGCGCGCCCGCATAGGCGCACAATGTGGTGTGCGGGGTTATCAATGTAAAATATATCTAAATAAAATTAAAATTAGTTTTTAGCTTAGGCACATTTGTAAAAATTAATATATTCCATATGGAAAATTGAATACCTTTAGATTAAAAATTTCAATAAAACAAGTTTTCAATAAGCTAGTTTTGCATTGGAATACCGAATAGTGATAAAAATGCGCAAGTTTATACGTGCAGCTACGGCTGGAATAGTGTTTATGTCTACTGTGTTGTTGCTGCTTCACGTTTCAAAGCTGGGAAGTCAAAATGAACTGAAAGCCAGAATGGGGCGTTCGGCGCGGTGGGCTGCAGAGGTCTCTCCAAACCCGGCCGTCATACAACCATCTACACAAAGTCATGTGACTTCTGAAAAACGACAAAAAGTTGTTGAAGTACGTTAATAGTGTAAATGTTATTGCTATTTTACCAACAATCGAAACACATCTCTATTTTTATCTCTTTTCCACCAATAGGTCAATAATTCTTGATTAGATGAAAAATAAGATTTAAAATTGGTGATTCTTCTTTTGTGATTCTAACTTGTATAGACTTGTTTGGATGGGGAGTAAATCGTCATCGACATGGTCACGTGACGTGTTAATGCTAACACTCAGAGTGCCGATAGATGTCAAAACCAGATAAATGTAAACATTTTTAATTTACAATATTTTAAATTTAAGATCAACAATTAATTTGAATATTCAAAAATAACAACTGTATGTTTATAGTTTTAAGTTTTCACATCTGTTGGCAGTTCTCATGTCTGCTTTTTTTTATAAAACAGATTCTGTACATATTGTTATATTTGTTTTAATTTGGTATATACGTAAAATTTGTAATTAGGAATGTGTTTAAATTTTTCAACTTGTGTTCCATAAGCCTTAACATGGAAAACAAATAGTTTTGTTTCATTTTACCTCAATCTGCTTATACACAGTACACATTACGACGTATACAATGTACAATGTTTGAATATACCCTATGTAAGTAGAGCATAAAAAGTAAAAACAAATTCTGTGAAGTATACATTTTAATCCCTCCACGACCGCGGACACGCCGGCGTGTCAGTTAACAATAGATTTCTTAGAATTTTAATTATTTTTTTTAGAAATTTACCTGAAGGTGTTAATAATACTATAAATATTAACCTTTCTTAAAATAATGAAAATAATATAAACGATTTGTTTCATACGTATAAGATTCAATATTTGCATATAAAACTAAGTTTACATAAATACGAGTATAGAGCAAAGATGATCCCTTTAGATAGGTATATAAAATCAAAAATTAGGTATCTAAAGTTACTACATTAATAAACGTAAAGGTTAATCGACCTTACAACATAATATGTGCCAAAATACAACTAAATGTTTTATTGATTTCCTGTTACATATGAGAATGTATGAAATTTAAACATTTTCCGTATCGTACTGGTTTTAAAACCGGAGTTTCCCACTCTCCAGTCTGTTATGCGTCAAAGTTTATCACTAAGTTAATTGTCAACTAGACTGTGTGCTTAATCTTCACTAATTTTATTACTATCGCGCTACATACATAAATACATTTGACTGTTATAAAATGAAATATATTGAATTACATTTTCTACCTCTTTATTCTATTTAACTGTTAATTGGTAAAGTCTCCAGTTTTTCCAAGTCATTGGAGACACTTCGCAAAGTTGGCGGAATCTAATAATAATTAATGGTTCCGTGGAAAGTCCGATATCCTTTCATTAGTTCACTCGCTGCGCAGAGCGACTGAGATTAAAACTTGCGCTCCAGGGTACGGCTTTGCAAGCTTTTCAAAAGACTTCTTTTCGACGCCTTTGAACGGCAGAATGTGAACATTTTAAAATAATGTTGGAAAAACTGTAATGAAGAAAGAGTTTACTCTACCGACGTATGAGTAGAAATAACTAAAGTAAAACATAGTTATTATGGGTCTGCCTTTTCTTAACTTTTATGTATTATACTAGCATTGCCCGCGGCTACGGCCGCGTTCAGATGACCAAAAACTAAATTCTTAGGTTTTACATAATAATTAGTAGACTCTTACATTGTAGTTTTTGTATTTTTTCTTAGAAATGAGATATTTTCCCGCGGTAAAAAGTATCCTATATGTTGACCCGGATAACCAGCTATCACCATACCAAATTTCATCAAAATCCCTCCAGGTGTTTTTCTGTGATGCAGTAACAGACAGACAGACAAAAATTCTAAAAACTATAGATTCGGCCTCTGTATCCATATTAATGTCTATTTCAATAAGATTTTCCGAAAAATATTTATTGTACAGATTCGGCTTAATTACAATTTTATTATATGCGTAGGTAGATGATATAGATTTCATAAAAAGTATCATAATATTATATTTGTTTTATTAATAGTTATATCTAATTTTAATCTATTATCTTTTCAGATGATGAAGCATGCCTGGAACAATTACAAACTGTACGCGTGGGGAAAGAACGAGCTGAAGCCTATTTCGAAACGAGCTCACCTTACTAGTGTATTCGGCGGTGGTGACCTTGGCGCTACCATAGTCGACGGCATGGACACCCTGTACATCATGGGCCTCATGGATGAATTCAGAGAGGGTAGAGATTGGATAAATGAACACTTCCACATCTTCGAAATCGTAAGTTTGACCACACAGTTTAAGCGGTCTCAAAATTTATTCATTTCAAATAAATATAATAAGAATTAAAATGTTATCAGTTAAATAACATGTTTCTTTGACATTTGATATCTGAAATCGTTAATATGGCGTCAATTATATTATGTTCCACGTTTCCTATACCAGATACCTACTTAAATTTATTGATAAAAACTAAAAAAAAACCGACTTCCAGGCACTAAAATGTAAAAAATAATAAACAGGTAATTTGTAAGAAGAAAATTTTTTAATAACATATTTGATAAAATAATTTATTTAAGAAATATATTTATTGTTGAATTTTTTTAAAAACCGCTCGACCGATTTCGAACAAATATTCCAAATCGGTTCAGGCGTCTTTGAATAATCGGTGAACAAACCTAAAAAACAGATTCAGACGAATTGAGAACTTCCTCCTTTTTGGAAGTCGGTTAAAGAGATTTGGGCTGTATACTGCATTGATATTTAATTATAAAGGAAGTATCAATTACACATTATATGCTACATGCATGCTATCCTTTCGACAGTTAATCTACAGAAGTGGCAGAAATGATTTAATATATAATATTGTACTAACAATAATACCATTTCAATTGATTAGCATAACTCTTGCTAATACATCTCTTAGTTTACATATAACAAACATTTTCTAATCGCACGCAAACAATTATAAGTAGGTAGAATGCTGTATACACCTGTAAAGGCGAATCATACCGAATTGCACGTATATTGTATATGTTACAATAATTATAGTGCCATTACGATAAGTCGATGGTGTATCTTTCTAATAAATAAATAAAAAAAAATGTATTATTTGCACTTACGAGTACAAGATATTTATTCAAAGTAAAGCCGTAAAATATGATAATCGAGTGGTAAAATTAATGAAAGCAATTGTTTCGTAACGCGATGTTAAACATATTTTATAAATCTTGCAACTCGTTAAATACTTAATCACAATATGTCTTACGTCACAATATAGATTCATCGTTAAATAGCTCGTGTTATACAAGTTGACAAATTAAAATTTCCAATGAGTAAACTATAAACAAATTAGAAGAACTGCTCTCACTGCTGACATTGCATTAAATTTTCAGTTAAAAGATCATACATTTAAAAAATTAAGATTAAAATACCGTTTGAGAAGCCATGTACATGGCTTCTGTATGTACGGTAGAATATATGATTTGGAGGTCCTGGATTCGAGTTCCGGATCGGGCCAAGCATAGTTATTGAGGGATTTCCTGTCAAAAAACATCAATAAAAGAGTTGAAATGCTAAAGAATCAGGGCTATTAACTATTAGTATTTATCATATAACTAGCATTGCCCGCGGCTCTGCCCGCGTTCAGATAACCAAAAACCAATTTCTTAGTTTCTTTTATATTAGTATACTCTTACATTACAGTTTTTGTATTTTTTCTCAGAAATGAGATATTTTTCCGCGGTATAAAGTATCCTATATGTTGACCCGGATAATCAGCTATGACCACATTAAATTTTATCAAAATCTCTAAAATCAAAACCCATCCAGAAGTTTTTCTGTGATGCGGTAATATACAGACAGACAGAAAAAAATTCTAAAAACTATAGATTCGGCCTCTGTATCCGTATTAATGTCTATTTCAATAAGATTTTCCAAAAAATATTTAATGTACAGATTTGACTCAGTTAGAATTTTATTATATGTATAGATGTTTGAAATTATATTTTGAATTGACAATAATAATAATTGTTCTCTTTAGCAGTATAATATGCGGTTAATGACACCCATATTCACCGGGCTTTTATACTGAGTAAAATATATTGTAAATAAACGAATCGTATGGTTGTAACATAATAATCGAACAGCTCTATCAAAACATTAAATGATGGCAATGACATACATACATATATTCACTAAACGTTTTAGAATATTTGAATAATGTAGTAAAATCAATACGGACTTGCTAAGTCCGTTCAAGATCTATTATAATCTAATTAACCTTTTACGAGAACGTTTAATATTATAATGTCTTTATGTATAATAATATTTAAAATTTATATACTACTAGCATTGCCGCGGCTCCGCCCGCGTTCAGATGACCAAAAACCAAATTCTTAGGTTTTACATAGTAGTATGTTCTTACATTGCAGTTTTTGTGTTTTTTCTCAGAAATGACACATTTTCCTGCGGTAAAAAGTATCCTATATGTTGACCCGGATAACCAGCTATCACCATACCAAATTTCATCAAAATCCCTTTTATCAAAATTCTTCAGTGGTTTTTCCGTGATGCGGGAACAGAAAGACAGACAGACAAAAATTCTAGAAACTATAGATTTGGCCTCTGTATCGATAATAATGTATATTTCAATAAGATTTTCAAAAAAATATTTAATGTACAGATTCGGCTTAGTTACAATTTTATTATATGTATAGGTAAGTTAATAAATACGTTTCATCTGTTATAGTGTAAGTAGGTCAGTATTTATGTCATCAATAATAATAATTTCTGAACGGTAAAAACATATGCTATAATAAGGAGTAATTGTGGCGTGTTTATACGATTACGTAGGTATATTATCATTCTTAACAAAAAGTAAACCGCAGAATGGGCGCCACCAGTTAAATAGACGGTCACTTAGCTCCAGGGCACTATTGAACTTAAACGGTAGAACTAATTTGAACTTTATAACAATTTAAGAAGGCTCATATGAAACTCTTTAACTTAATATATTCTGTGTCGTGCTAATTGCCCTAAAACCATTTGTGCTATACTGCGCGGTTATTGATGTTCTACAGTTTTTGGTTATACTATTAGATTCTTTACTTACGTGTAATATGGTCATATTTGTTTTTTTTATTTCATGGTGTTTTAATTGGTACACTGTAGATTACACATGATGGATTGTACTACGTAGTAAGGTACATATTATGTAGATATCACTGTCTCGGTGGTGTAGTAGCTAGCTATGTACGTCTGCACACCCGGAGGTCCTGGGTTCGAGTCCCGGGTCGGGCCAAGTTTAGTTATTGAGTCTTTCTGTATAGTAAGTCTCAGTAACAGCCCGGAGCTGGGAAATTGGCGGTGTTTCACCCTCGTGCCTCGGAGAGCACGTAAAGCGTCGGTCCTGCGCCTTAACTCTCACTGGTCGTGTCGAGTGGTCGTCCCACCAGAGTATGGGAGTGACAGGAATAGAGAGTGCACTTGTGTCTGCGCGTACCATGTAAATATACAAATGTACTAACTATTGCTCACCATTTCGCACGTGTGAGCTTCACTTTACTTTTATTTCTATAAACTCCTGCAATAAAACACAGAAATAATTTAAATAAATTAACCTAGTCGGAATTCAGACGTATTGAGTGCCATCAACTGTAAATCCACAAGATAAACACGTTGACGACTCGATTGAATCATCAGTAAAACCATAACACTATTTTTTAATGACCCATTACTTCATTTTGCTTTGCCAAGGGATTTTTTAATAGAATTTTTTATTGCTAAACGAAATTATTGATTTTGTACATCAATTTTGTATAATAAATAAAAAAAATATATGTAAAAGAGCATCCCTCATATTATATCATAGTTTCTATTGACAAAGGTTGGTTTATGTTATATTTTAGTTGATTGGGCGTGGTGAAGATGCACACTTATCAAAATAAACATTTATTTTTATATATTATAGTGTAGCACATAATATGGATATATTATTCCTTAAGGTTAATGCAACATTAATTGCAGGACTCCGACCTATCTGTATTCGAAACGACGATACGCTTTGTGGGGGGTCTCCTCTCGTGTTACGCTTTGACCGGGGATACCATGTTCCGCGACAAGGCCCAGGAAGTCGCCGACGCATTGTTGCCAGCCTTCGACACACCCACCGGACTGCCGTACGCTCTCATCAACCCATCTAATAAGGTAAGTTTATCGATAATCTATTTTAATTATCATAACTATTTTTTTACATGTAAAAAAAACTTTGACCTGCTGAAGCTTTATTGTAATGAACAATTGTTAATTATATATTTTTTATGCATATTGATGTCGATATAGAATGTACAGTACGACGGAATCAAAAACATTTTTATTATTAAATTTTCTAATTATATACATAATTACAATTTATAACAATATAAACGCAAAATATATGCAATTGTTATAAAGCAAATGTACAAAGCCAGGATAATATATCAATTATTATTATTATTATTATGGTGTATAATTCTTATACATATTTGTGTAAGTTCCGCATAAATAATTAATTATTAGTAGGTAAATAACATTTGATCGTTTTGTACATAATTATATGTACATAATACGCTTGATTAAGCTAATATTTCGCAACAAACTTTACAAATAAATGATGACATGTGCTTTAATATATTAAAGACACATTTAAATCACTATAATACTTCTTAAATAACGTTCAATAATAATAAACCACTTTCATTGTGTTTGTTTTTTTCGGGCTAATATATTTTGTTGACCTCCGATAATATTAATTTCCTGAAACGACTTAGGACTTCATTTACATACTGAAAGCTTTCTATAGTAGGTACTGACGTCCTTAAATTGTTTGAGATAGTTAAATGCTTATTATGTATATAGAATAGGCAATTGGTAATTTAGAGGGAAGTAAGAATTTATCCATATTACATTACTCCGTGTAGATCGCAACTACGATGATTAATTAATTACTTTCTAAATAATATATTGAATGCTTACGGAATTTAATAGTTAAAGCATAAAGAAAGATAATGGAGAATAGAAAATCCTATACATATTCCCACATATATATTATCCTATATCTATATTAATATTATACTAGCATTGCCCGCGGCTCCGCCCGCGTTCAGATGACCAAAAACCAATATCTTAGGTTTTACATATTAGTATACTCTTACAATGCAGTTTTTGTATTTTTTCTCAGAAATGAGATATTTTCCCGCGGTAAAAAGTATCTTATATGTTGACACGGATAACCAGCTATCATCATACCAAATTTCATCAAAATCTGTCCAGTGGTTTTCTCGTGATGCGGTAACAGACAGACAGACAGACAGACAAAAATTCTAAAAACTAGATTCGGGCTCTGTATCGATAATAATTTCTATTTAAATTAAAGAGGTAAAGAGGTAAAGTTTGTGAGTTTGTGTGTTCGTGAGTTTGTGACGTTGTAAGGAGTTATCTCTGGATCTATTGAACCGATTTAGATGAAATTTGGTAAGAAGATTGTTTGAGACCCGGGGAAGGACATAGGATACTTTTTATCCTGGAAATTATCTCTTAAGGAGGGTGAAAATGGGGATGAAAGTTTGTATGGGGAACCAACCCAGGGACGAACCCGAACGAAGCGAGGGTGAGTCGCTAGTATATTTATAAACAAAGATGGTAGTCCTAGCCAACTTATCATTGCCCAGACCCCAGACCAAATACTAGACCATAAAGAACTGAAATTTGGTCAATCTATTAGTATAATGTAAACCTATTAAATAAAATTAAACCTATTAAAATAATGGTAACCGCTAAGAAAAGATTTCCAGTCCTTTAGAAATAAAAAGAATGTTATTTTAGTTTTGAACCATTCTAATTCTATCTATGATCGATAGATCTATTTGGGATCATCGAAAGGTAAAGTAAAGGAAACACTAACAGTGCGGGCGTAGCCGCGAACACTAACTCGTAGAATAATAAAAATGGTAGATTTCATCGACTCTAGACAACAGCTGTTTGCTGTTGAAACATAAACTTTTATTGTCAAAAAACAAATTTCGGCAAAATATAGTATTAATCTGTTGTTATAGATTTAACATATTAATGTAATGAATATCCTATCAGCAGCTCACTGTTCATATAATCCGAATGAACTGTGAAATTAAATGAAGAGCTTAATTATGATGTGGCTTCTACGTGATTATATATGAAAAAAATAGTTTAGTCTTATTTTTCTCAGTAGAACCTTTAATATTAAAACCTTTAATATTAAAGAAAAAAAAACAGTCATGACGACTGCCGACAGAAGTGAAAACTAAAACTATAAAACAAACAATTATTTTGTTTGGATATTCAAATTAATTGTTCGATCTTAAATTAAAATTTAGTAAATTAAAACAGTTTACATTTATCTGGTTTTGACTTTTTACATCTATCGCCACTCTGAGTGTTAGCGTTAACACGTCACGTGACCATGTCGATGACGACTTACATGAATTTACTCCCCATCCAAACCTGCCTATAGAAGTTTTCACTTCAAAAATGTCCATAAAACAATTTTGTTGCCATTTTTGTACTAAAATTACGATAATTTAATAGAAGCTATGGATGGCTACGCTTTCAAAATTCCCTTTTATCTTACCGTCAACCACTCAATATTTGTAATTAAGCCGTGATCGTCGGAAACCGAAGCTCATTGCAAATCGCAGGCGGTTCGTTATTACTTCAAAGCGGGCCGATGCCGCAAACGTGCTTGTTATCATTCTCGATGCGGCTCTCAGTAGCCCGACGACCCTTCATACTTCTTTCTTATCAATAAAGGATTGGTTTCGAAATTAATTCGTCGCATAAGCAAAGACTGAATCTAATTAATTATTATCGGCCTTTATGAATATCTTTTGATTGGCATTTATTGCAAAGCAATTTAGAAGCGGCCAATATTCTAGCGATAATAGATGAATTACTCGTAATATTTGTTAATTCAATAATAAGTACCTGGGCGACCGAGCTTTGCTCGGTGTTTTTGGCCAAAAAAACATTAAAATGAACCAACTAAAAATTTGAATATATGTATACAAAAAAAAACAAAAGTAAAAACTTTGTATCTGACCGGGATACGAATCCAGACCGCTGTGGTTGTCAAACTTGCGCCTTGGCCGCTTGACCACGATACTTATGTCCTAGCGTGCGAATTAGCGACCATATTTTGTGTGGAATAATGCGAAACAAAACCGCATGAAAACTTAAAAACACGTGTTTTCTCAGACATAAAACTAACCTAGATCGATTTGTCGCCCCCGAAACCCCCCGTATGCTAAATTTGAGCCGTTTCCGAGATTCAGATTATATATACATATATATAAGTATATATACCAGAATTGCTCGTTTAAATATATTAGATAATTCATAGTCAGTCTGAGCGTTCACATTCCCATACAGTTTGCCACGGTACTCATGTATAGGAGGGTTTTCAAATGTTTGTCTTATTATGTATGTTGTAAATTATACACTTTAACAAAATTTCCATCTAATACCATAGACTCTTTCAGAGTAATATATATAATTACTTATTTTATATTATACTTATAAAATATATATATAATTACTTACTCTGAAAGAGTCTATTTTAACAAACGATGTTTTCTTTTCGTGATTCAAAAAAGATAATGGAATTATCGATATTCTTTATATTTCCAAATATCATTCAAATTAAATTCTGATAAAGGTCAATAATAGCTTGAGTACCCTTCTAAGAAATTTTATGAAATGCTTACAATTCAATAGATCCTTTCGTTAAAGTTCTTGACAAATCGTCCGTCAGACGATTAATGATCTTCCCAATTATAATCTCAGAGTTTCAGACCTATCAGTTGAAGAGAAAATCAATGTTTATAATAATGTATCGATTAATATTTCAACTGACGACATTTAAAAATTTTTCTTTTTCTTGTTTTTTTTTGTCTGTTATGTTAATTGAAAGTTAATTAATTTTAATTGTACAAAAGACCAACAATTCAATCTAGATTAAATGTTTCTACTACAAAGTTCTAGCACTTCTAGCTATCATAAGTATGAAACTCCTTGTAAAATTGAGCTGTGTGCGTGAGTTCGCAGGACGATGTTTCTTTTTAATATGAGATATTTAGCTATGCATATAGGGTGCTATTGTACTTTGATAAAAGTAAAACTTATCCCTAGTATATATCTATACTAATATTATAAAGAGGCTGAATTTGTTTGTTTGAACGCGCTAATCTCAGGAACTACTAATCCGATTTGAAAATTTCTTTTTGCATTAGATAGCCCGTTTATTGAGGAAGACTTATGGGCTATAATATCATCATGCTACTACCCAAGGGAGCGGAGCAGTAATAATAAATGTCAACAAATCGGGCAGACTGCCATACATTACATAAAGCAAAAGTTTTTTTTGTAGATTGAACTCTGGCAAAGCCGCGGGGTTCTGCTGGTTATTTATAAAATAATATATTTTAAAATAGTATTTTTTTTAAATATACTATTTTATACTCGTAAGAAATGGTTTAATTCTGGTCCAGTCCAATGTTCCATGGGTTTAAATCGTAGTTATGCAAGTTTTTTATCTTGGATCATGAACAATATGGACAAAAAATTTTGCTAATTAAAGTAACAAAAGTATAAAACAAACTTGTGAGGTTATAATAAATTAAATTGTCAAGAGGGATCTCTATAAAAATGTGTAGATATTATCCAATGTTCTAAAGGGATGATAGAAGTACTGAATTTCGTCATTCCAGTAACGTTACGTGGAGATATTAAATTGTAAGCGGTATTGTATAACCTTTGCATGTTTTTAATAAATTTAATAATGATTAATAAAAAATGTAGGTTTCTCCATAAATAATATAACAAATTAACTGTTAATGAATATCTTACAGGCAAATAGACAATACCACTGGGCGGGCGCAAACAGCATCTTATCTGAAGTGGGAACTCTTCACATGGAATTCACATATTTAAGCGACGTCACAGGCAAAGAAGGTAAATTTTTTACCAAAAAATAAGAAAACAAAAGAAGAAAAATAGCAAATACATACTGTGTTGTTGTTTTTCATGTTTTTATTAGCCGTTATTTATCGATCTTGGTAAAATTATAATATTAATTCTCTTGTTTAACTCAAATTTAAATAAACACGTTTTTTTTGCGGTTTGAAACTCTTTACGCACTTTATCCTTACCAGATTTAAATAAACGTATGTAAAAAGTAAAAACATTCATCCTGTGAAGAGATCGAAGTTGCGGTTTCGGCGTGCCAGCCAAGAGTGCCGGTCGATAGCGATTATTTTGTCATAGGTTGAATTTACTATTTCAAGTATTATTAAACGTTCTATATATTATAGTTATTATAGTTTACAGGCAAAAAGTAGATCGTATTCGACAAATACTTCACAACATTCAGAAACCAGATGGTCTGTACCCGAACTACATCAATCCTCGAACCGGACAGTGGGGACAAAGTAAGTGTAATTATTTACAATGCTGTATATGGTAATTATTAATATAATTGTATGGTAATTCGAGCTCAGTTTTTAAATTTTGAATAATTTCGGTAGGTGGCTGTTAGTGCTTGTGGTAAATATATTGAACCACATAGCCTACACGTTTACACTTAATCTTTATATATTATGTAGCATAAATAAAAATAAATATATGTATAATGTAGTCGTATGTACGTATTAGATTTAGATGTTCACTAAAGGGCATTTCATTTCTCTATATCATATTTAGGAAGTAAGACATCAACGTCCAAACATTTTGTTTTTACCTTATAATATTTATGAAATTATCATAATAATTTCTATATTATATGGATTTAAAGGTATGTAATAAAAAAATCTATACATCATTTATGCACATTTTTCACGAACCCATATAAATTTTAATATAAAATTTCATAGATAAAAAAACAGGCGTGTAATAATAACTATTTTATAGTTAAACGAAGTCTTTTGATATGACGAAATTCATCAATAAAATTTGTTGCACATATGCAGTAATCTTAACAAATTTAATATAACTGATGTTTATTATTCAGGACACACATCGCTCGGAGCGCTCGGGGATTCTTTCTACGAGTATCTCCTAAAGGCCTGGTTGGTTTCCAACAACGAAGATGAACAAGCAAGAATAATGTTCGATGAGGCGATGCAGACGGCGTTAGACAAGATGCTCAGGATATCACCCACGGGCCTCGCGTACCTTGCCGAAGTGAAGTATGGCAGAATATTTGAGGAGAAAATGGACCATCTCTCATGTTTTGCTGGTAAGATCGAGGTTCTTATCTATATAATATTCTAGCAGAATCCGCGGCTACGCCTGCGTTCAATCTACAAAAAAAAATATGTTATCTTCCCCTATTTTACCCTCTTAGGGTTGAATTTTAGAAAACGCTGAAATACGTAACTTTTTGCCGTACCCAATTAATTAATAATTATACATATAAACTTCCTTTTGAATCACTCTATCTATTAAAAAAACCCTCTTCAAAATCCGTTGCGTAGTTGTAAAGCTCTAAGCATACATAAGGACAGACAGACAGTGTAGTGAGACCAGTGACTTACTACTAACAGTTACTCCAGGTAATAATCTATCTGTATACTAAATTTCAAATGTAATAATCACTCAAACACCATAGACACAAGCACACAAGTTTTCCCATATATAATAGTAATCCTATAAAATGAACAATTCCAGGTGGCATGTTCGCTCTGGCCTCAACCAGTCTACCGAACTCTATGTCGGAGCGCTACATGGACGTGGCGCGCAAGCTGACGCACACCTGCCACGAGAGCTACGCGCGCTCAGAGACCAAGCTCGGCCCCGAGGCTTTCAGGTATTGACACAGTTGAGACAGTTCTTTTAAATATGTCAGTATGACGACACTTTTGGCTCAGTGTGTAGTCACCCTACTTGCTGTGCCAGCGGTCGCGGGTTTGAGTACCGCTGGACATTCATTGTGTGATGAGTACGAATGTTTGTACTCCAGTCATGGGTGTTCATATTTATAATATGTATGTATTTAAAGTTTATATATGTGTAGTGTATCGAATACCTGGTAGCCGGTACCGTAGCTTACCATGGAACTAGATGGTGCTATGTATTAATGCCCCAAGATAAAACAAAACACATGATGAGTTTCGTGACCATGATTGCTAAATTGATGTAAAGTACTCGAAACGTCGGGATCTGAAAATCAAAATTAAAGTTTCTTTTTTTAGAACTATGATTATGACCTACTTACTAACAATTCACCCTTTGCTCGCTTCGCTCGAGTTCGTTCCTAGTGACAGACAAGAAATTCCATTATTACAATCTATTATATATTATACTAGCGACTCACCCTCGCTTCGCTCGGGTTCGTCCCTAGCTTGCTTCCCCATATAAACTGTCATCCTATTCTCACTTAAGGGATAAGGGATGATTTCCGGGATAAAAACTATTTCACTCACTCACTTTTCATATCATGAGATTTAAAAAAAGCTAATTTTATTTTCTTTTTTTCTTTTAATTTTCTTCTATACGAATCTTATCCTGACAATAACAAACACAAAAAAAAGAATTATCTAATTTGGTGCAGTCAGTCGGAAGTTATGCGCGTACATACATTTCGGTGATTCATTTTTATTTATATAGATTCCAGACTAATCTATCTCTGTGCCAAATTTTATCCAGATCCGATCAGCTGTTCCGGTGCGATTGAGTAACAAACATCCATCCAAACTTTCGCAATTATAAGTTATTTCTAAATATATATTCTTATAATGGGATTTAATATAACGAAATAATTTAAAATATCGCACTTTATAGATAGGTCACATTTTTATCTTCGACATTTTTGGTAAAAAGTAATTAATTCTCAATGTAGGTACAATGAGTTATTTAAATGAGTGTTAATGAAGAAATTATGAACTAACTAAAATGTTTATTGCCGATTGACTTTAGAATTTTGATATTAGTGGTAATTTTAGTGTGATTGATTATATTTTACGGTCTTGTTATTTTGACATACCAATTTTATTAAAACTCCTATTTTCTCAAAAACAAGTTTTTGTGGTTCGATCTATTTTGCATAATTATGTCCATATGTAAATTCATACAGATTCTCCGGGGCCGTGGAGGCCAGAGCGATGAAGAGCACAGAGAAGATGTACCTGCTGCGGCCGGAGACCTTCGAGAGCTACTTCATCATGTGGCGCCTCACCAAGGAGCAGAAGTACCGTGATTGGGGATGGGAGGCTGTTCAGGTAACAAGTGCTTTTAATATACATATAAACTGTTAGAACTTTCAAACCATCAAGCTTAAGGATATGAACCCAATTTTATTTAAAGATAATTTAATATTTTGTATGTAAACAAATCAAAATAAAAATCAGTCAAGTGCGAGTCGAATTCGCACATCCGTACCATCGTACATGTACTTTTTATTAATATGACTTGTATTGTAATTGTAGTATATTAACTTTGATGATCGATTACGATTACAATCCGTCCGAACTTGTCCAGACTTTTGAACCTTTTAGCCAGAAGTATTTTGAATTCATGTATAAAATATCACGTAAAAATATTTAAATATGAGTAATCATATTTGTTATTTTTTTTTTCAATATTTGTTAACTATTTTTTCTGTCTATATGTAAAAGGCATAGCGAAGCAAATACATTACGGAAGATACATTACATAAGGAATTATTCTTGTAGTATAGACATTTTAATCACAAAACTAATTTGCGATTAAAATGTCCAAACTTCAAATTTCTAAATGGATCCAAAGGCAGATAATAGAAACAAATTGATAGTCGAAACAAGGATATTGTTGATAGCTATTAATAAATTTAATGAGTAGGTATATATGTTATTTAGTATGCGATATATATCGAATGACGACAGCATATTGACATACTCTATTTGTAGTATATCACTATGTCGAAGGTCACGGGTTTAAGATGTACGTTCACTTCGTTATCTGTTTCACTGACCCCCGACAAGGCAAAGTAGTGATGGCCGATGTCTTATTTTCTTTATTGCATACAAGCGACTCACCCTCGCTTCGCTCGGGTTCGTCCCTAGCTTGCTTCCCAATACAAACATCGCCATTTTCACCTCCTTAAGGGATGATTTCCGAGATAAAAAGTACCCTATGTCCTTCACAGCGTCTCAAATTATCTCCTTACCAAATTTCATCTAAATCAGTTCAATAGATCCAGAGATTACCCCTATAACCTCACAAACTCATAAACTTTACCTCTTTATAATATTAGTATAGATAAACCTTTGTTTCCCATGTAGTCACTTATCGGGTAGTCACAGAGAATAGTGCTAAGCACTACAACTTGTACATACTTTCCAACTCTCAGCTGTTACTGAGAAGATCTCAATAACTAAATTCGACCCGACCCGGGACTCGATCTCAGGATTTATTATTTATAAGCTACTTACCCTTCCTTCGTTAGGGTGCGTTTTTAGGTGCCTAACAGTAGCCTCACATTACTTCAAATCATCATGTATCTGAGTACTATAATTGCAAACGCAGACACACACACACACACACAAACAGCCTTATATCTACATATAATATAAGTTCGCTTTCCTCATCGCTCGAAGGCGCTAGAGAAGCACTGCCGCGTGGAGGGCGGCTACACGGGGCTGCTCAACGTGTACCACGCGGCGCCGCAGGGCGACGACGTGCAGCAGAGCTTCTTCCTCGCCGAGACGCTCAAGGTTAGAGCACAGATATAACCTTCGATCAACAATACTACTAGATAACGTGTCACGTACAAAATCAAAGCTAAATTCTGTCCGCGCGAATATGTACTTATACAGCTACGAATAAATAATAAGTAGTCTAGTCTAATTCAGAACAAATTTCACACAGAAAGTGGCTCCAGTTTAAACCAAAACGAAGTATGTTCAAACTACGAATCACTTCTGAGATTACAAACAGACATGCTTGGTGATTGGTTTATATTCAGACCGAAAGCGGGGATTGGTTTGCGCGTGTGCTGCAATGTCTGCTATGACAGCTGAGTCATGGCGGCGTGGACGATGTTATGCAATAAGTCAATAATAAAAGAATATTATTGTACAATGTTTTTTTTATTATATTTTTATTGTGTTACTTTTTACAATTCAATGAACTCTATGTCCCACGAAATATGATTAATTTATTAAGTTTTTGCCTAGAAGACAGTAAAAGAGAATCTTTCTTCGTAATGTAGTGAAGACGGATTCAGAGAAATTCAACGATTATACATTTTATTAACGTGAATCTAGCGACTTAAACCTTAATTCAAAGTGTAGCTGATGCGCTTAAGTTTTGTTCGCCTGATTTTTTATATACACATGCGACTGTTAGCGTTTTAGAAACGTTTAACAACCTTTTTGAGATACTAATGAATTATTTATGTATTTCAGTACTTATACCTACTGTTCTCGGACGACTCGCTGCTGTCCCTCGACGAATGGGTGTTCAACACGGAGGCTCACCCGTTCCCTATAAAGAGCAAGAACCCCCTCTACCGGCTCGCTGAGAAACCCATTGACAGCGAAGATAATCAGGTCTAATTAACTCATTAATGTTTATATCAATGGCAAATCATAAAATTGAATGGGATATTTGACTACTCTTCTAATTATGTCTTTTTAATATGTATTTTTTTATTATGTTCATGTTTACAAATTTCTTGATTAGTTATTAGTTGTTTAAATAAAAAAAAGATTCCGACGAATTGAGAATCTCCTCCTTTTTGAAGAAGTCGGTTAAAAATGCATCCATCAGATTATTAATAGCTAAAAGTTTATTATACTATTATGTAATTGGAATTGTTTTAATTGTACATGTATTTTTAATCTAATACCAATTGCGTGTTAAAGTAACAGTGGGAGGAATTTTCCTTAAAGACCTTCCTTTTATGAGATTTTCTTATTTTTGACTCTTGGATTATTTACTTACATATATATCAGTCTATTTCTAACTATAAAGACATACACTATTTTTTTTATTATTTCTCTATTTTTCGTAATCTCATACATTATTCTAGTGTCAAGTATCTTATCACATTGGATGTGAAAATTATTTTATTGTATTGATTTTCATTTGAAAATAGTAATGTGTTTAAAAATTTGCATTTATTCGTGGCTTGGTGACGTTATCGTTTGGTGTACTCATTGAATTATTAACTAGAATTTATTGTATACTAGATATTAGAATAATTCTCTAAAATTTAACCAAATTCCACTTTTTATATCTCTTTCGGTGTATATATTAATTTTTATTATTAATATTATTTATTTTTAAATGTTGCTTATATACCTTAAATTATTTTTATGAAAAATTAAATACGTACCAAACCAGTGGCAAATTATTAATGCGAATGTATTTTTATTTAGTTTTTATTAATAACTCGTTAACATTTTTTGGTTTATAATTTATTGTACGAAAGTAAATAATAAATCAATTATCACTCGTTTTTAAAATTCTTTAATTTTCGTGATAATATTAATTGATATGGATTTTTCTTTGAACACATTTTAATAACAGTCAATTATAGTTAACCGATCAATTTGCTTGTATATATCGATTATATTATAAAATACGAGAAACAGAGAAGAAGAAATAACTAAATGAAACATAACTAGTCCAAAATCCTAATAATCTGTCTGTCTGTCGATAAATATACTTTTTTATTTTCGATTCATTAAAATGTTTCTATTATGATTTTTTGACTTTGTATTGTTTTTTTCATAGTTTGCAGTCCGTACAAATATTCTATAATATTTGAACTTTAACAGTCCCATTATAACATTTAATGGATATTAAGAAGTTGCCAAAATCTCACTTATTGTTCGCAATATAATGAACTTAAATTAAAATTTTTTCGTTATAATATAGAATAAATACTACTAGTTAATGAGCTTGCAGCCGAAAGCATATCGCAAATAAAAAAGAATATTTAAATTAGTGAAATAAGTATCTTTATTGTAGACAAAATTAAATATTTTTGAGACTTTTTAGTTAAAATTTTCCAACTTTAATATTTTTTAATTATTCTTATTATAATACTTTGTTAGATTTACGCGAATATTTGAAATTTTAAATAAAACTATTATTTCAGATTATTTCGCGGATTCATTTTGATTTTTTGGTCCCGACGTTTTGAATGTTTTACACTAATAATCACGCGTGAGATTAAAATTTAAAACGTCTGGAACCAAAAATCAAAATAAATTCACGAAAAAATCCGAAAAGATAGTTTTATCTAAAACATTCCTTTTTAGTTTTTTTTTATAATTAATGAAATTATAAATATTAATCTCTTAACAAAAATATTTAGTATCTATGATATACGACGTTATTTAATATGTATATATAAGTAATAAATTTTGTCTGCAATCAAATCCATAGGAAAATATGAATAAGTATGAATTTTAAAATTGCTCAAATCAGTGCGATTTAGGAAAATCAAATGAATTTAAAAATTCAAGGTTTTATAAAGCAGTTTCTGTTCTTCGATAAATACATAATATATGTGTATTTTGTTTGTAATTTCTAAACATTCGAATTTTGACATATGATTTGATTTACTTAAAACTTGAAAATTATCAATTTCATTTAATAAATTTAGAATTTATATAATATTTTATAGTTGACAATTTTAATAATAATTTGATCTCGTAAAGTAATAAAAATATTTACTGCAAATTTCATTTATAAACAATTTTACTGTGGATGTTACTATGAATAAATTGTAATTTGTTGTTTTTTTATATATTCACATTTTAAACCATAATATTATAAAATATTATTCGTTGCTAAAAAAATAAATATATAACTCATAAATCGGCCTAAAAATATTATTTTAAACTTTAATTATACTTATTATTAAATTATTTACTTAATAAATATGTATACAATTTCAGATTTGCACACTGACATTACTTATAGATGCATTTTGTTTTTTTTTTTTTGTAATCTACTTATACTTGTAGGTCTGTGTCTATATTATATTATAAACTAATCGAACACCGGTGTTTGTTTACTTTCTCAGGCGGTCAAAAGCTGAATTCGCGGGCATCCTAGTTACTAAATAAGCTAAAAAAAGTCTGGCCACGAAGCAGAAAAAATTTCGTACAATAACCTCTTTGCCTATTGACAGTGGTCACCAACATTTTTGTAGTAAGTGCGTGTTATATGAAATATTTAAAAGAGAACAACGAAAGAATTTCGTACAAGAACAGACCTTACTCTCGCAGTCGCAGTCGGAAAAGGTTTGCAATCCCTTTAGACGGCGGTCTTTGCACTGTGCGAGTGCGACGGCGACATATTTAAGCGGTAGCAACAGAGACAGGTAATAGCAAGTTAATGTACTAAATTCTTCCTGCATCGCGACCGCACTTTTAGTAGTCAACTCTTACGCAGTGATCGTAGCGAAACTCATAACCTTCTAAAGTTAGAACGTAGTACAATAATAGAGATATTGTGCATAGAGTGGGCAGGGACAAGGTGGGAGTCGATGTGGGAACCCCCACGTGAGAAAGAGATAGATAGATCACGTGACCTCTTCTGTCTTTGTCTAGCCTACACAAAATTTAAGTCCGTTCGCTGAATTAGTTTCACATTTAAAAATGCAGATGTCGAAACAAATCTTCGAAATAAAAAAAAACTATTTACATCTTAATAATATTGTCGGTGTATATTGATTTATATGACATAGATTGATCATACAATGATGTATGATGATGATATGATTCAGAGGACAATTATTGTGATGTAGAATAGTAAAATAAAACAAATTAAATATATGTATATACTTATTAATTTAATTATATTTATAAAATTAATAATTATAATTATAAAAATCAATTTATAATTATTTATTGATTTTCTTAAATGTAATAATTCAGTTACTTTTATTCTTTTTATCTTTACTGTCTTGCATTTTTGTAACTGAATTTTAATAATAAATTCCTGTGTGTCCTTTGAGTGAGATACTCTAATTGAGCGAACGGACTGTACATTCCTTACGTTACACTGCCAATACGCGTATGGTGCAATGATGTCAACTCTTGTATGTTATCTCTATAGAAAATGGTGTACATTATGTATATAATAGTCATAGATTATAATAGTTTATAGATATTTTGTGTGTAGTCGTTGTTTTAAACCAAGGAATGTGAGATCGATTGTTGATATGTTTAATAAATAATTGTCTTTGTTTATATATTATTGTATTCCTTTAACAACAATTAACGTCACTGAATTATAAATATATATAGAAAATATCGGCCCACGATATATGGAATATTGTGTATATCGAGGTATTTATATAGTTTAGTTTATGAGCATTGAAAACGAGTTCATTTGTTCTATACAAGTGCGTAGCACATATTACATCATGCACATCTAATGCGCGAAAAGTTCTAATGACCATACATTATAAATTAAAATACTTGATAAATAAATGTATTTTTTATTCAACAATAACGACTTACTCTCTCCTAAGGGATAAAAGAAAAAATATTTCTCTTAAGGTCAGGAACGTTCGCAGGCGTATATAGAATAACCACCAAAGTTTCGTCACAATCGGTTCAATGGTTCCGATTGTAATGAAACTCTGGTTCTGGTCTGGAATGGTTTAAATGGTTAACGCATTGAGGATAAACATTCATTTTTATTTATATTACAACTACAGCCAATGTACGGACTACGGAGGTACAAACACTGTAATAGAATATATTATATCTCCACTAAATTAATCTATTATGACATCGTGAAGAGATCTCATGCGTTTGTAGCTCCATAAGTCACTGTATATCATCTGAATGTGTGTTTATGAAACACATTAATGAAATTGTATTTAGTATATATGAAATATATATTAATTGTATTATAACTGATGTACAATTTTTATTTTAAATTCAATTTAAATTATATATAATTTAGTTTATTTTCATATTTCCCTGCAAATACTTAATTTACACATTTATAAGTTTAACATCGCATAATTTAGTTGAATGTCTCACCGAGGTCGGGCGAGTAATACCAGGTAATAATTATTACCAATTGATTAAGAACGAGACATTATACGTAGACTAAAGAATTATGTAGACGGAGTCCGCCAAAATAAACGTCAAAGTCAAAAATATTGACGTAATGTTGCTTGCTGTTTACACTACTATTTTCGATTTTACCATAGATATTTTAATTTCGATTATTTATATTACTTTCTTTTTGAGAATAATTTTTGAAAAAATCGATTCTTTTATTTTTAAGCATAAGTATCTTCTTTATTATAACAATAATCCGTTAACACCTCCAGATAAATTTCTAAGAAATTAATTAGATTTCTAAGAAATCTATTGTTAACTGTAACGCCGGCGTGTCCGCGGTCGTGGAGGGATTAACTGTAAACATTTATTTACATCTCACAGTTATGAATATTCTATTAACGTTTATATTCTGATTTAAAACATTATTGTTAGGCTTCATATTTAGTACTACGACACTCCATCTATATTATTCCTTAGTCTGAGACATTTTAAAACTCTGCAAATTAAATAATTCACATAGTAACTAACTAGAAGAGTTATAATTAAGTATATGTTAAATCGATATTACTTACTTTAAAATAAACGTTTTATAAAAAAAAAATGTACCGACATGATATTTTAATGTTAATAAATATAAAATAATAATAAACGTATACACAATACATTCATGTTACATTGAAACGAAACTACTTAAAATATTGCAATAACACTTTTATATTCTCATAATTTTTATAATTTTGACACAATAATCAAGAATATATCTTAATCTGGCCAAGAATTGTAACTTAAATATTACTAATGTACGAGTTACTATATTTATTCATATAACAAGGTTATAGGGATGGCGGTCGACGGACGAGGCCGGGTATGCTTAACCTGCATTGTGAATTGTTATTCAAAATGGAATGAGTATTGTTAGTGTTACGCATAATAATAAACGTATACAATAAGATATTAGTTTTCTCTAACAATATCTCTTACAATGTATTGAATTACAATGCATTGAATTTATTTTCATTTTGAAATTTATTTGTTTAGGTTTTTTTTTCTGTCGCATATTTACTCGTATAATAGATTTATTATAAAAGCTCAGACTAAAGAAATAAATATTTAATAGGGCATACATGTATATAAAGTCCGCCAAAATAAACGTCAAAAATAGTAGCATGATTTGCTTTTTATGTTGTTATTCTCGATTGCCATACACGTAGTTTATTTTCTTTAAAATTTATGGAATTAATGAAATATGAATGATAAAAAATCTTCTTTTGTAATTTTTAAGCAATAATTATTTTCGCCTTGAAAGAGATGGCATAATATTAGCTTATTTAATTTTCTTCTTTATTATAATAAAGTCCGTTCAACCGTTGGTTATTTTTATTTATTAACATTTTTTTTAATTTATCACTCAGTATGCAAATTTACATTTGTACCTATACTATTTTAAAATATTATTGTTTGGTTCCATGTTTAGTTCTGTGACACTATATTATTCCTTAGTCTGAGTGTAAAGCTTATAATTTTCATATACTTATGACAGTAACAATATATTTCTTTTATTGTGCGTAACTTATTAACAGTACTCGGAGCTTGTTGATATGTATAATGTAAGAAGTTGTAGTGTTTATTAATATATGTAAAGTAAATTTCAGTTATTAATAAAAAAATGTTTACATATATACTGCATTTTTATTTTCTCTATCCTTTTTATTTGACAGTCTGATTCTGATTTTTTTGCTAATTTGTGTCAATATTAAAGAGTGTTAATTAAGTTTAACTTTAACACAAATGTACATTTGATTTTCAAATAAAAAAATATATTCATAGTTACATATATATCGCAGTTACGTTGCATAATGAGAATCTGAGAGACTTTCTTCTATTATTTATAAGCTTTGTTATAGTAACAATTGACATGGATACAATTTACAATTCAATTTACATACAGTCATCGATAAAAAAGTACTAGATACACAATCAGCGACAAAAAATGTCCTTACCGAATGAGCGCTCATTTGTACGAAATTTGATAAAAAAGAAAAAGCGTAAGGAGGTTCTTTAAGTAAAAAAATATATATTTTGCAAAACCACAACCTACGAATAACTTATTATTTATTCGTAGACCACAACATACATTTTTTGGAACAATTTTTCATTTTTGGATAATTTTACACAATATAAATAACAAATCTAAACTTTTTGGATTTCCATTTGAGCAATTTTTTTTGTTCCTGATAAAATCCCGTGCCAAAATTATGCGACATAAAACTATATTTCAACGATTGAGATAAATATCTGTTAGTAATAAAACTTGCCAAAAGGTGGCGCTAGTAATTTATAAAACAGATAGGTACATGTATAGTAAAAATATTGTGGAAAGTAGATATTTAAAAAAAAGTAACATAGGAGTATACGCACAGACACAAGTGTAGGTACTCTCTATTCCTGTCTCCCTCTAGTCACCATCACCCTCCGGCAGCACGATTATTTGTTACGATCGGTGAGAGTTATGGCGTAGGACCGACGGCTTTACATACTCTCTGAGGCACGGGGGTAAATGAAACACCGCCAATTTCCAACAAAAAAATTGTTCAAATAAATGTCACTACATGGAATTCTATGTATCTATTTGTTATTACTTATTAGAGTATGTGTAAAATTAACAAAAGATAATAAATAAATCCCAAAAAGTACATAATATATGGTATTAAAAAATATTCTAAGGGAAGGAAATCAAAATAATGCACTCGAATATCAAATATGCGTGATGTTACTGGTTATAATATTATATAAATATAATACAAAAATTCAACAATCCGCTATTGGGTTTATAATGCATATGCATATCTATTTTTACTTTTTATAAGTTTTATACATATTACATTTAAAAACTGATAAGTGAATGAAAAAAAAATGAATTTTGAACCTGTGTAGTATTATGGTCATCTGTACTACGACTAATAATTTAAACTAATTAAGTAAATCTTGGGCGAATCTAAAGAAAATATCG